CTTGCCTCACAAGTGTGAGGACTTAGGTGCAGATTCCCAGAACCCATATTAAAAAGTCAGGAGCTGGGCAGTAAGATGAGATGCAGAGATAACTGGATCCCTGGAGGTTTGAGGACTGGGGTAGCCCAGTCTACATGGCAAAGTTTCAGACCCATAGAGACCCTGTCTCAAAAAGTTGAGGGTACCTGAGGGCCAACACCAGAGGTTGTCCTCTGACCTGCGCATTTGAGATGTGCACACATGCATCTGGGCCACTGCCCCCCGGCCCCAGGAATGCACAGACCAGAAAGGTGAGCACATAGTCACATGGCAGAGCACTTCTGGCCATAAACAAGGGCTGTGGTCTGTCCCCACACCATGAAATGAAATGAAAATAAGAGGCTGAAGATATATAGAGTGCTTCCCTAGCAGGTGCGAGGCCCCTAGACTCTTCAATAAGAACACACACCAAAAAAGTACAATAACCAACACCACAGAATATCAGACACCACAGAATATGTCTCACCCATCATCTCTCAGCCAAAACCTATTTCTAGAACTCATAGCTTTCCACAATGCCACAGTTCTGGCATTTTCCACTTCCCAAGTAGAGCCACAAAATTTTGTGTACGCAGTGCTGCAGATGGGACCCAAGGCTTCATTCACACTAGGCAAGTACTCCACCAAATGGTCCTCTGCCCCCACCCCATCCATATCTTAGTGTCTTTGAGGACACCAAGGAGGCCTGGAACAGGGTGACAGAGAGGCTACCAACCTCATCTAGCAGCCCCATTGTCAGGCAGAACAAAACAGTGAGGACTGAGTTAAACACCAGCTCCAAGCCATCCCATGGGCCCCTCCATGGGACAAGCTGGAACCCTATCTTTGTCTGTGTGGCCTTAGAAGGAATTCCAAGTCCCGTTCAAGAACTTACTGCACACTGGGCTACATGTGGATATGGCCTGGAACTTGGGAACCACATGACCTGCCTGCTCATGCCCAGAGCCGACAATGGGTAATGCAGGCCATAGAAGAACAATCCTCCTGAACACGGCTGCACGGATGTTCCCAGCTGTGATTTCAGGAGTGCAAGTTTCCAAATACCCCAAAGTGGGAGCTAATGAGATGAATCATCGTGCAATCATGATATGAACTTTCAGTCATGTGTTAAATCAGGGTTGGAAATAAGTTGTTTTTGGGGGGTTCTTGATGTTGTTATTGTTACTTAGCTTTGACACAGGGGCTCACGACGGAGACCAGGCAACCTTAAACTCACAATTCTCCCTCAGCCTCTGAATCTGCCAAGTAATTACTACAAACAAGGACTATAGCAGGTCAAACTGACTTGTTGGTGAGTTGGGTTCTTTTTATTATGTTTATTTGTGTGGGGTGGGGAGTGAGCAGTACATGTATGCCACTATGCCTTTGGGGAGGTCAGAAAGCAACTTGAAGGAATCGATTCTCTTCTTCCATCATGAGGGTCCCATGAGTCAAACTCAGGAGAAAGGGGGCTGATGGCTCAAGCTCCTGCCTTGGTGTCTTCTGTGACATGATGGAGTATTCCTGCAAGCTATGGCTAAGAATGGATTCCCAAAGGCTAGACACAATGACTTTCCTTCACTTAACAACACATTTGCACACATGTGTAAGTCTGTAATCCAGCAAACTTGGAACTTAAAGGAGAAGAGGTCAAATAAGGTCAAAGTGTGAACAAGATGCCACACTCCATCACTGGTTGGAGTCAACTAACAAGTGCAAGGCAAAACGGAGACCTGCAGCCTGCCATGGCCATGACTTAACCGAGACAACACGAAGCTGCATTGCTACAGAAGGAGCCTTGAGCCGTGAGGCCAGGTAATACAGACTTCTGTAAACATCTCCAAAGAAGCCCCTGTCCCACGTGTAAGATGATCCAAAGTTGACTCTGTCTTGGAGAGAAGATCATGTTGGTAACAGGAAGAACAAATGTGCTCACCTCAGGGCATTGGTGGTGCTAGACCCTCATCCCAGCACTAGGAGATGGAAGCAGGCAGATCTCTGTAAGTCCAAGGCCAACAGTCTACATGCAAAGACTTTGTCTCAAAAAAAAAATTAAAAAAAAAAAAAAACAAGAAAGCTGAGCAGTGGTTGTGCATGCCTCTAATCCCAGCACTCAGGAGGCAGAGGCAGGTGGATCTCTGTGAGTTCAAGGCAAGCCTGGTCTACAAAGCAACACAGAAAAACCCTGTCTTGAAAAACCAAAAACAAAGGAACAAACAATAAACCTAAGAATTATGTTTCAGGAAGCATTCTGCTGTGTAATGAATTAAAAATTGTACATCAAACAAAAGACAAGTTTTATCACCTGTACAGACCATAAAACTGAAAAATTGCCAAAGAAATGAAGCATTGTTTGTCTTCACCATTAGACACGTGGGACTCCAAAGCACAAGATGGCCCAGTGGGTAAAGGTGCCATTGCCAAGCCTGATGATCTGAGTGTAACCCCTGTAGTCCCCATGAGAGAAGAATAGACATCCTCATGTTATTCTATGACCCCCCACATGAATGCCATGGCACATCCACACCCACAAACATAAATGTAATAAAAAAATTATAATAAAATAATAATTTAAAAGAACCCAAAACTTCTTTTCCTAGCATCTCCAGATATCCAATACAAAAAGAAAGAAAAGCCAGGCAGTGGTAGTGGCTCACACCTTTAACCCTAGCACTCCGGAGGCAGAGGCAAGAGATCTCTGTGAGTTTGAGGCCAGCCTTGGTCTACAGAGTGAGTTCCAGTATAGCTTGAACTGTTACACAGAGAAAACCTGTCTCAAAAAACAAAAGTGAGGGGGGAGAGAGGGTAAGAGGGAGGGAGGGAGGGGAAACTGGAATCGACATGTAAAATAAAAAAATAATTAAATAAAAAATAAAAATAATCTTAAAAAAAAGAAAAGGAAAGAAAAAGAAAGAAGATAACATAGACAGAACTAAGAAACATTGGTAGAACTAAGAAACACCCAGTGTACCTTCCCCAATCTTATCTAAGTCTGTCCATTATCTTTGTGTGGGGAGGTGTGTATGCATCTTTGAGGAGGGTAGTTAGCACACACACGTGTGTATGCACTTGCATGTGGATGCCAGAGGGTCAGTCCCTCCTCTGGAGCCACCCATCTTGTTTTCGAGACAGGGCCTCTCACTGGGACCTAAGGCCTTACGTGATTAGCCAAGGCTGAGTAGCCAGCAAGCTCCAGGGCTTCACTTGTGTCTATCTCCCTGGCTCAGGGATTTCAAGCGTATCACCACAGCTGGCTTTCTATCTCAAGTGTTGGGGTTCAAAGCCCTTCCCCGGCTGAGCTCTTTTCCCAGCCCCTAGGTCTGTTTTCTGTTGCTGTAACAGAAAACCCGGGGCAGGCTAGCTAACAGAATAAAGGTTCTTGGGCTAGGGGAGTAGCTCAGTATGTTCATTTGCCATGCACAAGACACTGGTTTCATCCCCAGCATTGCATAAACTGGGTGTGGTGGTGTACATCTAACCCAGTACTCACAGGATGGGGAATTTGAGGCCCTCCTCAGCTTAGGGTACAGACAGTAGAGGCTCTTGAGACTGGAACTCCCAAGACCATTTGCTGGCTTCAGTTCAAGGGGGTAAATCTGCAGGTCTGTGCAGAGGGGGCAGGCCTGGTGGGGGTAAGCAGCCTCACTTTGCAACAACCAGCTCTGGGGAGAACTGATCCAGTCTCCCAGAGCAAGCATTCACTCCAGTGAGTCTTATTTCTTAAGACCTGATCCCTTCTCAAAGGCATCTCCAGCCACCACAGGGGCCATCAAGTTTCCACATGTGGCCACATGAGACACTTTCTTTAAAAAAAAAAAAAGGCACGGAGGGCATGACAAGATGGCTCAGCAGTTCAAGGAGCTTGCCAGATTGCCAGAGAAGCACAGAGTCCTGAGTTCAACCCTCGGGACTCACACAAAGTTGGAAGGAGAAAACCAATTCCACAATGTTGCCTGGCCTCCACATGTGAGCTGGCACACAAACCCACACACAATAAAAATAATAGACATAATAATCTTTCAAGGCAATCAAATCAAATCAAAATGCACACCAGATATTGAAGACTTCAGATTTAAAAAAAAAAAAAAAACAAAAACAAAACACAAAATGCCTCCCAAATGATGTGTTCAGAAGGGACCACATTCTGAAATCATGTATATAAAGCATTAATTAAAATATACTCTTGTGAGGTGCAGGGACACCCAGCCCTAATTCCAGCATTTAGGAAGCTGAGACTGGAGAATTAAGTTCAAGGCCACCCTGGGATACACAGCAAAACTGTCTCAAAAAATGATAAAGAATGACCAGTGCTCCAGAGCCAGACAGATTTCTACGAGGTCAAAGAACACCCTGGTCTACAGAAGATTCCAGGCCAGCCAGGGCTACCATAGTAAGACCTGTCTCAAACAAAACAAAACAGAAAAAGAAAAAAGAAAGCAGAGCTCAGCGATGACCCCAGAGACTTGGTTACACAGTCAGCTCCTCCTGAGTTCTGGGCCTCAGTTTCTCCACCTAAAAAGAGGCCTATCTATTCGTCTTCCTTGCCTTGAGAGTAGACAGCAGGTGCATGCAAAACCCTTTTTAAATGTTACCCACGGAGCCCCACAGGGATGGAGCTGTTCCCCCTCCCTGCTGGCATCGCAAAGTGCTTTCTAAGGATCATCTCATTTAATCCTCCCGTGGTCCCTAATGGTAGGGACTCTCCGTCTTTCACCCGGTCGCAAATGGGCAAACTGTGCTCTGGACTGATGAAGCTCCTCGCCCAAGGGAGAAAGGAAACGCGGAGAATCCGCTGCGCTGAGCGCAAAAGCGGGATGACAATTTCCACTCCATTATGAAGACGATGCTGTCTGGTTCCTGGGTTGTTCTAGCCCCGGGCAATGGGGTCTGTGCATTAGGCCCAGTTCTCCAGGCAGAGGGGACAAGAAAGAGGGGCTTCAAGGCCCTGACCCTTGTCTACCACCCCCAGCTCCGCTGCTCACCTTGCATATTTGGTTTTCTGGAAATCCAGCAGCCTGGCCAAAGTGAACATCGCCGCGGTTCCATCAGCGCCCGGCCCGGGGCTGGGACGCGGGAACGCAGGGAGCCGCTGCGGGAGGCGCAGCAGGTTGGAAGGGCGCCGGATCCTTGGGCAGCTCCAGGGCCCTAAGCAGACCTGATCGGCTGCCTCCGGAGCCCGAAGCCCCCGAGCCTGGAGTCTCGGGATAGCAAAATCCTGAGCAGATGGTGGCGGGGGCGGGGCTGGGGCGGGATATGCGGGGTGAGGGGGACGACTCAGGCGCAAGCTGCCAATCGCTGAGCTAGGAGGTCCCCTCCCTCCTGTTAGCATCTACCCGTGTCCCCTCCACCCCATCGCTTTTCCAGCCAGCAGAAGACAGCTTGGACTAGACTGAACCGCCTCTGTCACCGCTTATCAGCCAGGCAGCGCTGCAAGCCACAGGGGACGCTTGGGGACCGGACCAGGTGGCACCCTCCCTCAGTCTACTTGTTGCTGGCTCTTACCTTGTGCACCTCTGAGAAGCCTGCCAATACTTAATCCTCCCTACCAACCAGGACTCTGTGACTCTAGGAATCATCTGCTACCCAAAACGGCCAGCCCCAAGATGGGAACACTCCAGCATGTCTAAGATCTTCACCCCTAAATCCATCCTCAATCTTCACACTCCAACTTTCTTTTTGTTATTATTTTATTCCATTTTAATATTTTTAACATTTGTTTAATTTTGAATCTGTATGTATATATGTAGGGGTATGTGCAGTGCCTGGAAATCCTAAGTGTGGGATCCCCTGGAGCTGGGGCTACTGGAATTGTGAAGTGGGTGCTGGGAATCGAACTCCAACCCTCTGGACCAGCTGCAAGCACTTTTTAACCGCTGGGCCATCTCTCCAGCCTCCTACATTCATATATTTATGATGCATGTGGAAGTCAGAGGACAACTTGCAGGAGTTGGTTTTGTCCTTATACCATGTACAACCTGGGACCAAAACTCAGGTCTTCAGGCTCGGTGGCAAGCACCTTTTCCTGTTGAACCAGCTCACCAGCCCCAAATTCAGCTTTCTGCTTTAGGGGACCTTGTTTGGAGGACTCAGAAATACAATCTGTCTGGGGAAATTTGAACACTGCTGAGGTAGCTGCTAGAGTTACGATGGTCTTTGATGTTTATGACAGCTACTGACGTCCACTTGATGGGATCTGGGATCACCAAAGACACAACCTCTGAGCATGTCTGTGAGGAATCATATTCCTTAGGCTGAGATGGGAAGGACCACCCTAAATGTGGGCTGGGCCTTTCCCTGGGCTAAGGGATAACCTTGAATTCGAGAATTTCAACTTAGTGCCAGCATTCCTGTCTCTTGGCTTCTTTTTGTTGTTTTTGTTTTTTTCAAGAGACAGAAGTTCTCCATGTGGCCCAGACTCTCCTGGGACTTACTCTGTAGACCAGGCTGGCTTCCAACTCAAAGATCCACCTGCTTCTGCCTCCCAAGCACAGGGATCAAAGGTGTATACCTCCATTGCCTGGCATCTCTCTGCTTCTTGATCACTGTAGATGATGGGTCCCCAAGTTGTTGGGAAGTCCTCTCCTCCTCCATTGCATGGCTTCCTGGGACCCACAGCTTCCTGATCCTTTTAATTAATTATTTTTACCCAGTACTAGAGAGTGAACCCCAGCCTCAGCACATACTAGAACACTCTACAGCTAAGCTACATCCCCAGTCCCTTTTTAATTTTTTATTTTGAGGCAGTCTGGCTAATCAGCTCAAGCTGGCCTTGAACTCACACTGTAGCCCAGGCTGACCTTGAACTTGCAACTCTTCCACCTTCAGCCTCCCTAGTGGCCTCGTTCTTCTTAGAACAATGTTTGTTTGCTGTCCTATCGGTTGCTGAGAAAATGCCACCCACGCCTCTGCTTCAAGGGAGCTAGAACAAGAAATAAATTGACAAAAGACTGCCTGATTCACCTCTGCTTTCCAAATGCTGGGCCCAGAGTGCACACGCTAGACCCTGGCGAGGCAAGACCAGAGGGCTACAAGTAGATGGTGGGGAGGAAATCGTGGCAGGATTAGCAGCAAGTGGAAAGAGGGCAGCGGAGAATGAGAATGCCAGAGGGAGAGGCAAAAGGAAAGGCCCTGGGGTAGGAAGTAAGGCCAATCAGCCTCAGATGTTAGCTTAGAAGTTCAAGAAGATGTCTAACATAGTCATCCCAGCACTTGGGATACAATGGCACGAGAGGCTCAAGTTGAAGCCATCCTGGACCATTTAGTAAGATCTTATCTCAGAGAAGAAGAAATCAAAAGAAAGCAGGGCATATTACTCCATTAGAGCACCTGCCTCAAATCCCCCCATGAGGGGCTGGGGTGTGGCTCAATGGTAGAGCACCGACCTAGAATCCCCCAGTGAGGGGCCAGGAACATGGCTTATTAATAGAGAGTCCACCTAGCCATGAATGAGAGCCCGAATTCAGTTCCAGAGAGAGAGAGAGAGAGAGAGAGAGAGAGAGAGAGAGAGAGAGAGAGAGAATTAACAAAAACTCTTTGTTCTTTGTGGTAACTTTAAAAACAAATTTAAAAAGGGGTTTGCTAGAAGGCCTTTGCACAGGTGAGTGGAAGGCATGTCCAGATACAAATTTATGTATTCTAGTTGGGATGAAGATAGGTGTTCATTTGCAACTCATAGAAAATTGAGGGACAAGGCCAGATATGGTAGTTAAAGTCTGTAATTCCAGCATTTGTAAGGCTGAAGCATGAGGGCCTTGCATTGGAGGCCAGACTGAACTGCATACTAAGACAAGGACAACCACAAAGGTACAGTAGGAGGAACAAAAACCCAGAATGAGGGGCTGGAGGGACAATCTGATGGGTAAAGTTCTTGCCATGCAAGTATGAGGACCTGAGTTTGGATCCCCAGTACCCATATATCATCTGGGTAGAGTGGCATGCATCTACAACCCCAGTTCTGAAAATACAGAGACAGTGGGGCCCTGGGAGCTTTCTGGTCAGCCAGCCTAGCCCCGTGGGTAAACTCCAGATTGGATGAGCTCCAGGGGCTGGAGATGGCTCAGCGGTTAAGAGCACTTGCTGTTCTTGCAGAGGGCCTCAGTTGGTTCTCAATAACCACATACTGATTTATGACCACCCTTACTTAACTCTAGGGTATCTGACAACCTCTTCTGAACTCTGTGGACACAAGACATACATGCAAGTGCACATATGTACATGCAGACAGCATACTCAAATATATGAAATAAAAATAATAAATTGAAAAGAAAAATATATTTAAAAAAGAAGATACAAAGTATTAGAGCAGTGATTCTCAACCTGTGGATCACAAGGGTCACCCAAGACCATGTGTGTATCAGATTTTACGTGACAATTCATAACAGTGGCAAAATTACAGTTATAAAGTAGCAAGCATGAAGTATGAAGAGTGTGAAGTATGAAGTAGCAAGGAAGATAGTTTTATGGTTGGGGGTCACCACAACATGAAGAACTGTATTAAGGGGTCACAGTGTTATGAAGGCTGAGAACCTCTGCTCTAGAGGAGGACACCCAGTTTTGACTTGTGACCTTCATGTGCGCAAGCACGCACACACACACGCACACACACACACACACACACACACACACACACACACACACACACACAGAGTGAGCCACAGTTATGTGGTCAGAGTGGTATGATGTGAATGGGGGATACTGGAATCCAGGGGGGCGAAGACACTCCTAAGGGACACAGCTCATGGGGACATTCCTAAGGATCACAGCTCATGGGGCTTGGCTGTATGCACATTTGAATCTCTACACCCTGAGTTCACTGTGAAGCACAACTCCCAGAAACTCTAGTAACTTCTACAGATCTCCGGGAGACAAAACCCAACAGACACAGGGAAGGTTAGGCCTCACATTGCACAGCCCCGAGCTGACCTGCAGACCCAGGGCTCTTCACCAGTTACATTAACCCCTGTCTGTCTGCCAGCAGTATCTTCCCAGCCCTCCACCTCAGCTCACAAGGTTTCTGCTGAACATGGCCTGACCCTCCCTGGTCACCTTCCTCCCCAGAGAATCCAGGCCAGGTCCTAAGTGACCACTAGTAGCACAGCTCATAGGAGGCTGGGCTCAGGCCTCTCCAAGGCTGTGTCCTCCACCTTGCCCTGGGCTATTTGTCCACTCATGCTGCTGTCCACCTTCAGGCAGGTCTTGGCAGTGGGCTCTGTGGATACTAGCAGGGGACCCAGAAATAACACGCATGTCAAGAAATGTATATTTCCCCCACCATCAGCTAAAGAAGTTGAATAAAAAAATAAGTTACTATTTTTACTGCTGGGATATGGTTGTTATGGCAACAGAGGGCCTGACTCTTGCTCTTGCTCCAAGGTGGGGGCTATGCTTGAGGGAGAAGGGGAAGGAGGTGGCTGGTGGGGTCAGCAGCAGGGAGAAAAGTCTGAGGACCACAGGTGAGTCCTTTACACATCTCAGGGACTCTTGGACACCAAAACTACATCATCATAGTTCCTCACCGCTCTACTTTCTCCCTCCCTCGTTCCCTCCCTCCCTCCCTCCTTTTCTTCATTCCCTCCTCCCTTCCCTTTCTTTTTCATACTTTTGCAGTGTTGCAGATTGAACCCAGGACTTACAAATGCTGCATAAGCACTGACACAGGGAGGCTAGAGTGCTGCAAGAGGAATTCTGGCTCAGTGGTAGAGCCCTGCCTAGAATCCCCCAGTGAGGGGCTGGGGTGTGGCTCAGTGGTACAGCACCTGCCTAGAATCCCCCAGTGAGGGGCTGGGGTGTGGCTCAGTGGAAGAGTGCTTGCCAATCATGCACCAGACCCTGGACTCCACCCTCAAAACAGCCAAACAAACACAAACAGCCAGTAAGAGACAGGCACTGAAGCTTACTAACTGAACCAATGAACAAACTCTTTGCAACTGCCGTATGGTCTTTATATTTTGATTTCGAGTCAGGGTTTCCCTATGCAACCTGAGATGACCTCAACTTGAATTGCCACTTCAGCCCGCTGAATGCCAGGGTTACAAGCACATGGGACCATGCCTGGTCCCCATCCTTTCCTTCATCCTAGATCTAGATTATAGATGGCCATCACTGTACCTCTTCCTGGCTGCCCTCGCCCATTTACAACCTGCGGGTTGGGAACCAAAGCCACCATGAGGAAGAAAAGCAGCAGGCCACAGGGTATCATGAAGTCCCAGGATGGCAGAGTCTGGCCTCCTGAGAATATGCAAAGGACATGGCAGGGCCCCCAGGGAAAGGTTAGAAAAGCCAGGGTGGTGGGACCCCTGAGTCCCCACTTTACCTCCCTAAGTCAGAGCACTCAGTGGGGAATCC